TACCCGTTCTGTGAGGGCTACTGTGAGATCAAGTGGTTAGTATTCCCAAGGAAAGCCCTGAACACTGAGCCCCTGGGCTGCAGAGCACCCTGGAGGCATTTGACAATGTTCCTGGGGGCCATTATGTGACATTGTGGGGTCGGGGCCTGTCACGAACCGGATGCGAGACAGTGTGCCCCTCTGCTTCCCTTCCCTGTCTGGCCACTGCGGGGGAGGGGCTGGGTGATCCTGAGACAACCTGCAGCCAATGCATCACCTTTCTTTCCAGGCCAAGTGGTGGAGGGACTGATGGCTATTCTAAGGATGCCCAGTTGTCCAGGAGGAAATTTATTTGGTTTCCATCAATTCCTTAAATGCTAAAGGAGCCAGGTGTGGTGGTGCTCACCTGGAGTCCCAGCACTCGGGAGGCTGAGGCAGGAGGACTGTTGTGAGTTCGAGACCAGCCTGGACTACAAAGTGAGCTCAAGGCCAGAGTGAACTGCATGGCGAGACTTTGACTCAAAAAGACAAAAAAAACAAAAAACAAAAAACAAAAAACAAAAACCCCAAATGCTAAAGGAATATGCCTTTCCCTATAACCCTGAAGATTCAACCCCTCTGCTCTTTTTGTTTTTGTTTTTTTTTTTTTGCAACAGAGCCTCACTATGTAGTCCAGGCTGGCCTTGAACTCACTATATAGCCCAGGCTGGTCTCAAATTCATGGAGATCCTCCTGTCTCAGCCTCTCTAGTGCTGGGGTTACAGGTGTGTGTCACCACACCTGGCTGAATCTCTCTGCTCTTAAGCCCCTATAAGGCTACGGAGGGTTTTCTTTCAATGGGTTGTCCCAGAGAGACTGCTCTAAGAGCCGCCTAACACACACTTTATCTCTTTGTCCCCTCTCGGTCACCTCCTTCCTTTTTGGGGGCTGGGGTACTGGGATGGAACCCAGGGCCTTCTTTTTTTTGTTTTTTTTTCTGGTACTGGGAATCGAACTCACAACCTTGTGCTTGCCAGGCGGGCGCTGTGCCACTGAGCTAAATCCCCAGCACCCCCGGGGCCTTCTCACTAAGCTACATCACCAGCCTTTTAAAAAAATTTTTACTTTGAGCTGGGTGTGATGGTGCACGCCTGTAATCCCAGCACTCAGGAGGCTGAGGCAGGAGGATTGTTGGGAGTTCAAGGCCAGACTGGGCTACAAAGTGAGCTCAAGGCCAGCCTGAACTGCATAGCAAGACCCTGTCTCAAAAAGAACAACAACAACAAAAATTAAAAAAATAAAATAAGCCGGGCGTGGTGGCGCACGCCTGTAATCCCAGCACTTGGGAGGCTAAGGCAGGAAGATCATGGCGAGTTCGAGACCAGCCTGGGCTACAAAGTGAGCTCAAGGCCAGCCTGAACTGCATACGGAGACCCTGTCTTAAAAAGACCAAAAAAATAAAGAAAGAAAGAGTTTTTACTTTGAGACAGTATCTTGCTAAATATCCCAGGCTGAGCTCAAACTTGCAATCCTCCTGCCTCATCCTCCCAGTGTGCCAGGATTAAAGGAGTGAGCCACTGCCCAGCACCAGCCTCTCCTTATACTCTCCCTTTCCACCTGCTATACAGGTGGACATCACATCCCAGTGACCCCTCGTCAGTGCCCACATTTGTAGGTTGTACCTCAGCCCTATTTCCCTCTTCTCTTCTTGGCCTACTGAGCTTCAACTCTACTGGCTTCTAAGCTCCTCGGGCAACTGGGCTCCCTCCACCTCAGGGTCTTCTTCTTTTTTTTTTTTTTTTTTTTGTGAGACAGGGTCTCCCTATGTTTAGGCTGCCCTTGAACTCACTGTGCAGCCCAGGCTAGCCTCAGTCTGGCAAGGGATCCTCCTGCCTCAGCCTCCTAAATGCTGGGATTACAGTATGTGCCATCACACCCAACCAGATCCAACCAGAAGCTTTCTAGATTCCCCCAGGGGAAGGAAAGACTCTCCTCAGGGTACACACACCTCTGAGCCTATGGGTCTCCCTCAGCACTTCCCTGGCTGGATCTACTCAGGTGCCCCAGTGGAGCAGGTGCGTGGTCCACCACACTGCCGTCTCGGCTCACTGTTCTCCGTCTCCACCTATATACAACCAGCTCCCTGAGGAAGACCCTTCCCTCACTTGCGCTGGGCCACATCATCTTCTCCTGGTCTCTGCCACTGCTCCCGCCCCTCCAGCTCCTCTATGCTCTCTCAGCTTCGCTTTCCAAGAGAAAGTGCTCATTTATTTTATTTTACTTTATTTTTTCTTTTGGTGCTGGGGATCAAACCCAGGACCTCATGCATATGAGTAAGTGCTGTTCTACTGAGCTGTGCCCCAGCCATGATGTTGACAAATGCAGTAAACTGAAGGAATGCACAGAGTACAGGAAATGTAAAACCCAGCCTGCTCTCCTTGGCTTTACCCCTCCCAGTGGCTCCCTCCTACTCTGGGGAGTCTGTATGTTGCATTAAGGTTTTCCCTATCAGATCCCCATTACTCACTCGCTCCTGGCTTCCAGCCGCGCCATACCTCCCTCTCCCTCTGGCATTTCTGTCCCCTCTGCCTGATCCTCCTCTTTCCCTGCTGCAGGGAAACAAGCGAGGCTTGTTGTAGTAATCCAGGCCAGAGATGATGAGGCTTGCTTGCTTTCTTTCTTTCTTTCTTTCTTTCTTTCATTTTTTCTTTCTTTCTTTCTTTTGACAAGTTCTGATTACGTAGTTCAGGCAGGCCTTGAACTCACTATGCAGCCTAGGCTGGCCTTGAACTCACAGCGATCTCCTGCCTCAGCCTCGCCAGTGCTGGGATTACAGGCCTGCGCCACCATACTCAGCACAGATGAGGCTTATTTCAGGTAGCTCCATCTCATGGTGCTCTGTTTGTGGAACATGACAACCTGCACATCACCAAACCTTTTTCTACAATGCCCCCTCTGCCCACAACACTGCCAGCTCCTTAGGCCACTGACCAGCGCCTGTGAGGATCTAACTCAAGGTGGGGCCCGGGATATAGCTTAGCGGCACAAGTGCCTGCCTGGCAAGTGTGAGGTCCTGAGTTCGATTCCTGCTACCAAAAAAAGAAAAGCTCTAACTCAAGGGACCTCTGCCACTCTAAGTGTCCCGACTCACCAGAGCACCCGCTGGGCCCAGGCAAATTAGGTCATCTTCCTGAGCCCCTTTACTCAGCTGGCGCATGTCTCTGCCTTTCTTTCCGTGGCATAGCCTGCCCAGCTGGGATTCACGGTCAGATGGGTGTGGGGCAGGGATGACGGGTGATGGCGGATGCTTCCCAGCCCTGCGGGTGCAGTCACCTCAGTGCATGCTTGGGGACACAGAACATCTCAGTAAAGCAGAGAGAGGCCCAGAGAGGCAGAAACTGCTTTAGCGGGAGTGTGAAGGGCAGGAACTCGAAGACTCCAGGAGGGAGAGACAGGCAGATGATCTCATCCACAGGGACAGGGGACACTGGATTGTTCTGAGCTCCTTCTGCCCATCCTTGGCCTGTGCAGGTCTGCTTCGGGATCATCGTGCAAAGAGCCTGAAACCTATGTCCCCAAATTCCTGAAAAACAGACATGTGTGACACTCCTCTTGAAGCCCAAGGGCACAGGCAGGACAGCTGAGCATGGCAGACAGCCTTAGCTCAATGCAGCCCTGCTGTGAACTAGCTGGTGTCTTCCGACAAGTTGTTGAGTGGCTGTGAGCCTCAGTCTCCTCCTCTGGGGACAATGAGGATACTGACGGTACAACCCTGACAGGATTGTGATGAGGCTTAAAGAAGAGAATATGAGCCAGGTGTGGTGGCGCACACCTGCAATCTCAGCACTTGGGAGGCTGAGGCAGGAGAATCTTGAGTTGGAGGCCAGCCTGCACTACAAAGTAAGACCCTGTCACAAACAAACAAACAACGCGGAAGGAGCTGAGGAGGAAGGAGAAAACATATGCAGAGTTCTAATACAGTACCTGGCAGAGAGTATGGCGTAAATACTGGTTATAGCATTACTATTGCATCAAGATACCTGGGTTCTGGTTCCCGTGCTGCCACTGCTTTTGTTTCTGCCCCTGCCTGAATTTCTGTCCATAAAGCTGGGTGCTGAAGGATTAGATGAGGTAATGGGTGTGATGGAGGCTTCAAAAATGAACAGTTGTCTCTGTCCTTTGAGGTTCGCCTCCCTAGGCTGCCAGGGGTTGTCACCCTCCTAGTGTCAGGTCTGCTGAGCTCTCTGTCAGGCAGAACCTGCTCCTGCAGCCAGCCCATTTCCTCCCCTCTCCTGGCATGGCAGAATGAGAGGAAGGGTCTGGGGTTGCCTCAGCAGGGACTGCGGTTAGACAGGAGGAAGGACTTCCTTCCTGACAGCAGGGTGCTGCCCTGGGAAGGAGCCAGAGGTCGTGGGACTAATGACGCTGGGGGAGGGGCTGCTTCCAGGGGAATGGCTGGGCCCCCGCTGCTTAGGCCAGAGTTGGCCATCAGCTCAGCAGTGACCTCACTTCCAGGGACCCTGGCACTTAATTAGACTTGCCCCAGGCTCCCAAGACCACAGCGACAACAGCAAAGAAAGACAAGGCAACATGGATTCTGCAGGCCAGCAAGGGTCACCAGCCAGATGTATGTTGTTCCCTCTGCCCAGGGGCTGGACATGGCTGACCCAGAATCCTCCGAGCCTGGTTTAAGATGCACTTCTTCAGAAAGGACCTCCTGGCCACTCGTGCACTCACTCTACAGTACTGACCCCACTACAGGTCACGCACTGTTACAGACTGAGCAGGAGACAGCCCCTGCTCACCCACGCGCAGTAGCACCTGGCGCAGTCCTGTCCTCCAACACAACAGGCTGTTCATCTCTGGTCTCTTTTTATGGGCTGTCTCCCCACCAAACACGTGCCCCGGAGGCTGAGGTCGAGGACCTCAATCGTTCATTTCACTGATGTGAACCTAGTGCTTAACTCAGTTTTGAACCCGGCATAAGCCGCTAAAACAGGACCTGAGAACTATTTGTTGAATAAATAAATGGACAACGGAGATCAGAGAACACACAAAGAAAGGGTGTTTATGACTTCAGAAATGCACAGAGGCCAGGCGTGGAGGTGTATGCCTACAATCCCAGCACTCCGGAGGCCGAGGCAGGGGAATCCTCGGGACTTCAAGGCCAGTCTGAACTACATAGCGAGACCCTTTCAAAAGAAAAGAAATGCACAGAGATGTGATGAACACGGGCACACACAGGATGATGCCAGGGCAGCGCCCTTCAGACCCACCCCAAACTTTCCTGCCTCAGTCATTCAGCTTGGCCGCTACCTCTTGGGCTAGAATCACTCTTGCTCTGAGGCTGCAAGCTGGTCCTCGATGACAGGATCTATCCTGGTCCCCAAACTCAGTGATGGGCCCAAAGCTGCAGCGGCTAACCCTGTGCTCTGTCTCGCCCTCCCTACACTAGCGAGGCCCCGCCCCGGGAAGCCCCGCCCACTTCCCTTCTGGCCCCCGCCCCTTACCGGCTCTCCTTGGGGAACCTGGGGTCTCTTCTGTCGCCCAGAACTGATAGTTAATATTTTTGCCACCGCTGCTTCCACCTGGAATGTTGAAGCGTTCAGTAGAAAGGATAGCAGCAAGACTTCCCTACCTCCAGGTCTTCACCCATTCCCCCGGACCCTTCCTTTCTCTCTCCTGTGCCCGGCCCCGCCCTCCCGTCCAGCCCCG